AAAGATAAAAAAAAGGATAAACAACTTACCAATTTAAAAAAACTATGTATCAAATGAATATTTCCTCATCTTAAATAGGGTGAATTTCGTGTTTTCTTAATTATTGATAATATATATTTTACAAACATCATTATTCAATAGAAATTGAAACGTTGTCTGAAATTGGAATGTAGGTAGTGACAAAAGTGTATAGATAAGGGCGTGGGTGCACATGAGGGTGGGTCAACCCAATCACTTTCCAAGGTGGCTCAATCCTCACTGGCTCACTGGATCACCACTGACACACCCACAAAGCAAACAATTTAGACAGAGTTTGAATTGGAGGAGTCAGTGACTGAGTGGTGACACATGAAACCACGCATGAAGCCGATTGGATGGATGGATGGAGGGGAGTCAACAATGTAATCGTATTCTTTTAAATTTTTATATAATTTAAATTTTTATATTTTTTATTAACAATTTAATTTTATAATTCTTAAAATTTCATAATTTCGTGTCTTTAACTTTTTTTATATAAAATTTTAAATTCACAAATTTTAATATAAAATTATATATTTGTATCGACAAGGAGAGCGAGGGGCCTCCCGTAGCCTTAACAACATGTCCCCAAAACTCCCGAAACGATTTCTCAGCTTGAGTTCCATCCACGCACGTGTAGGCTTGTAAATGAACTGAACGTTCAACAAACAATTCATGAACCGTGCGACGGGAAGTTCGTTTATGTGCGTTTATTTATTAAATGAACGAACATAAACAAGATTTTTTGTTCGTTTAATTAAATGAACAAACATGAACAAAGGTCTCGTTCGTTCATTTACGTTCGTGAACGTTCGGTTATGTTCGTTTGGTTATGTTCGTTTATGTTCGTTCGATTATGTTCGTTTATGTTCATTCATTTATGTTTAACACAATCTTCTTAAATCAATTTTGGTGACCAATTTGTAAGTATCTTAAAAATATTAATCTGATATTCTGATGACCAACTCCATAATTAACCCAATTTTATTTGGAGATTAAATCAAATATGTTAACCTGTGAAGCACCTCGCACTTATATTCATTTTCCCCTTTTTTTCTCCAAACCTTATTGTTCACTGGAGAGTGGAGACGATCTCTGAAAGATTCAAAACAAGTTATATTATAGTGCAATATGAAGTTTTACAGGTCTGTTTTCATCTTTTTCTCTGTTTTATTTGACTTAATAATTGATATGTAAAGTTATTGTGGTATCTTCACATCTAAAACTCAAGAAAATATAATACTTCTTTCTAGAAATAGATGGGAAGATAAATGTAAAAATCGGAAGTATATGAGCATCAGTAAAAAGAAAAATATATAGAATTTGCCAGAAAACAAAACAAAGGTTTCTATGCAATTTCTGAAAAAGAGTGTAATAGCGGAAAATGATTGTTCATATGTAATCATGAAACACTAAGATAAATGTTATAGCGTTAAATTAAAGTCGTGTGAATCATTTAATATCTTTAAAAGATCGATCAGAATATTTGATATCTTCAAACATTTCATCACTACTAATAAGCTCTTACGCTATTTATCACTGTAGATTTGGTTGATTTGCATTGTCGACTATTTTTCATGAAAGAACAATGGAAGATAGGGTCTCCAACGTTTATGTTCGTTTATGTTCGTGTTCATTTATGTTCGTGTTCGTTTATGTTCGTGTTCGTTTATGTTCGTTTATTTATTAAATGAACGAACATGAACAAGTTATATTCCTTAATAAACGAATATGAACAAAAAAAATTTTGTTCGTTTATGTTCGTGTTCGTTTATGTTCGTTTATTTATTAAATGAACGAACATGAACATTTCTTCGTTCGTGTGCGTTCGATTCGTTTACAGGCCTACGCACGTGCATTCTTAGCTGTACTGTCGCACGCCTTGCCCCCCTCGTTTTTTAATCACTTTGTAAAACTGCATTAAAATGAGAGGGCTTACAGAGGCTATTGGTTGAGGTTCTTTCTATTTTCTTCAAAAATGGCCCAAAGGCCTAAATGGTCCAAGAGACATGGGTCATGGATAGAGGCTATTAGCACGAATCTTAGTGAAATTCGGTGGTTAAAAAATTGTTATTCTTTGAGGTCCTAGGTTTAAACACCAAGAATATTAGGGATATGAGCGTTCAATGTTAAAAGGTTGATATTTATCTTTGAACATATACTATATTGTATTTATCCCAAATTAATAAAAAAATCTTATTATTGATTTTCTAGAGGCATAATTATCACATCAATCAACAATAAATCATCTAATATGATAGGATATTATATTATTAGTTAAATAATTCAAATTTAATAATATAAATAGCGAAAATTGAATTGAAAAATTATCTTATAATAAACTTTTATAATATTCAAATTGAATTAATCAGACAATGAATGAAGATGGAATCAACACCAATAAGTATGCATACTCACCATGACAAGCTGAGATGGCAGCGGCCAGTGAAAGGCTGGGTGAAAATCAACACACACACACAACGATGTTTTTTTGTAGTGATAAGGATGCAGTAATAGGGGGAGTATTCAGGGATGCTGAAGGCGGTTGGCTATTTGTTTTTTCCAAGAGCATAAGTAGATGTTTGATATTATTATCGGAGTTTCGTACTCTTAATGAAGCACTCAGGCATGCTAGGAGACTAGGATTCATGAAAATTGATATTGAGGTGGATAACATTGAAGATATTTGGGTGGTGAATAGAACCCCGGATGCATTGCACGATCTTGTTCTTGCAGATACGATTCGTGTGTTGTTTCAAAACGATTGGGAGATCCAAATCCGACGAGTTTCTCGCAAACAAAACTAGGTAGCGGATGTTTTGGCAAAATTGAATTGAGTACAACGTTTGGGTGATACGATATTTGATGTTCCCCCATCTACAATGACTATTATTCTCTCTCATGAAGCTTATGAAGTTGCATTTTAACTAATGTCTAGTTGAAGTAAAAAAAAAATCATTAGTTTTTTTATTAATCTAGAGTTATTATAAGAAAATATTTGTTCTAAAATTAATCATTTGATAATGAAAGTTCAAATACTCTTGCAGTCTCTTATGCTCGAATCTAAGATCTTTGAAGATAACAACCACCCCTTTAACCACTAAGATAATTTGATTTGTACATAGTTAATATAGTATTAATAACAACGCGATCATTGAATCATATGTTATTTTTTAATAAATTGATATTTTCCAATGAGATAAAGACATATATCACATCTTATATATTTATATTCAAAAGGAGATTAAGACATGAGAGAACATTAATTTAAAAAAAGTTTAATATAAAAAAATGTTCAAACTATATTGTTTTTTCCAAAATGGTGTCTAAACATTTTTTCAGTTAATAAATATGTCTAATGTTACAAACATTATCATTTTAGGTGTCTCGACCGTAACAAACGTTAAATTCCTCCGTTAAATTACAAGTGTCATGCTCAGGTAATTTTAAAATTTTCATTAAAAGAACTTAAAAAATATTAGATATATAAAAAACCCTAATTTCTCTAAAATAACAAAAAAAAATCAAATCCCTATAATTAACCCTAAACCTAAACCCTAACCCTAACCCTAACCTTACACAATCCATTGCCGTCCACAATCGCCATCACCCCGCCACTGTTGGCATCTTCCTTGTCCGCCTTTGTCTCTCTTGTCGTCGCGAGTGTCTTCGGGTTGTCTGGGAGTCATTAATTTTGAAAGTTTGGCTCCTCATGTAGCTATTTTGTTCATCGGGTGTTCGTCAGATTTATGGGTTGTAGGTCGTTGTGGTCAGTTGCTCGTTGGGTGGAGGTCCGATCGACAATAACGATGGAAAACAGTGGCAATGGGTGTGAATATATGGATTGAAATGAGGATTTTCAAAGTTTAGGAGATTTTTTTAAATTTTCAAAAAAATTTGGATTTTTAAATATATATATATATATATATTTAATTTTTTTATTTTAAATAAAATTTTTAAAATTATAAAAATGTGACACATGTCACTTAATAGAATATTTTAACGATTGTTACGGCTGAGGCACATAAATTGATAACATTTGTAACGTTAAGCACTTAGATTGCTCGAAAAAATTTAGTCACCACTTAAGAAAAACGATATAGTTTGAATACTTTTTTAATATTAAACCATTAAAAAATAACATATGATATATTGATTCACTTGTCGTCAATTGCTGCGAAATAAATGAAAACGTTATTTTTTTTTAAACAATGAACAAGAATATAAGTTAAGCATTGATGCTCTCCACTTTAAAAAACAATCTTTAATGTCTAGTGGGGGTCTCGAAAATCATTCTTCGTCAATAGGTTTATCACAACTTATCTTGACCAACGCATTCGTAACATCATTTTGCTCCCTTTTGATTAATCGGATTCGTATCTCCCAATTTCCTTAATTTCCTTTGAGAAGTTTTGTTATCATATCAATCTACGTGTGTCCTTGAGGAGGATTGAACATATTACGAGTCACTTTTGCTACTTCATTATTGTTAGTCTCGATTTCAAGCTTTCGGATATCCAATCATCATGTATGTTGAATGTTTCATACATACATTACCCATAGCTCCGCCGATAGAATCGAACAACTTCATAAGCTCTCGGTGAAACCGAAAATCCATTGTCTTTGTTCATCTCTAATGACTCCTCCCGCCAATGCATCTTGATCGTCGTCTTGTACGGCACAATCTGAATTAGCTTTTAACCATCCATCAGCAGGCTGTGACTAATAAAAGTTCTTGATTTCAGTGATCAAATTATAAAATTTCTAAAAGTTCAGTAACCATTAATAAATTTAACCTCAATATATATATAATCATTGCAGCCTAAAGTATACAAAAGTTGGTATTTAAGACCACGTTGACTTGGATGACTCAAACAAACCAATCGTAAGCATCAAGGGAACATGAATTTTCTTCCCTCCTTCCTTATTAAACGCTAAAACAAGTCTCCTTTTGTCTGTAATCTCATCTTCATTTTCAAACTACCCGTTCACACCACCTAGTTTCCCTTCCAATTTGCAATAGATCTTCCCTCGGTTTTTATTCTTCTTTTTGTGATTTTCAAACTAAATTTTGGTTAATCGTATGACTTGTTTCCCCTCCTGCTGCTCAGTTGCCGTGTTCAAACTTCTTTTTATAGAATTCAACACTGCTCTTCCGTAAATTCCAAGCCATTTTTTTCAGTTTTCTTGAGGATTGGATTGATGGGTTTTTCTAAAGTTTGTTAAATTTGGGAGCTTTTTCATGATCGATAGCCAAATTTCTGCCTTTACAAACAGGATAATTGAAGATGAGATCAAAGGCGTGTTTCTTCGATTTTGTCTTGTAGTTCGGATTATTTTGTCTTAATAATGGTCTGTTCCAGCATTGTGAAGCAGAATTTCTGTTTCTTTTGCTTTTATTGTCTTGACTGTTGATTATGATCCAAAAAAGTTGATTTTTGCTTGTCATAAAAGTGTGTTAAAGCCTAGGATGCATGATTCCTTGGAATTGTTAGAATTTAGAACCTTTTTCTTCCCTTTATTTCGTTTACTTGACTTTTCATTATGTATGATATTGATTTTTTTTTTCAACTCTTTGCCATGGATCTTTGTGAATTTGAGATTTCCTTGATATTTGTTGTTCATCGTGTTACGTAGGTTATTGTTTTTCTTCTGCAGAAATGTACTTTTTTCTTATGTACTCAGCTCTTGACTGTGCAGGTTGGGTTGATAATCTTTGTTTTGCATGATCATATCTCTCTCTTTCTTGCATCTGGATTTGCATAGTGGATCTTTTCTGTGTGTCTAATTCTTTGAGACTATGAAGTGTTTTACATTCCCCAATTGGCATAAAAAAGATGAACCAAAGACCCCCAGATCAGTTTCAAATCGGTCTATGAATTCTACATTCACCGATCCTGAAATAGCACGGTCTGGATCCGAACTAAATTCTCAGAATGTCTCAGGCATCAGCACAGAGTCCATGAGACAGTCCTCTTTTCCTAGCATGTCTCAAAGAACCAGCAATCTAAGAGTATTCACAGTTTCTGAGCTTAAATCTTCCACCAAGAACTTTAGTCGCTCTTTCATGCTCGGAGAGGGCGGATTTGGGTGTGTTTACAAAGGTTCTCTCAAGAGTCCTGAAGATCCATCTCAAAAGGTCGAAGTAGCAGTGAAACAGCTTGGCAAAAGGGGGCTGCAGGCAAGGTTCCTTGACTGAAAAACATATTGAAAGTTCCTATCTGAGTTATTCTGTCTTCTATGTATTCAACTTTGGAAATGCCATGAGTAGAGTGGTTTATATTATGAGTCTTTATACAGGAGACTTTCGATATTATATGCATCTTCACGTGTCTCAGTCCTATAGGAAACTGGTTCCATCCTTTTTTTTTATTTCTGGTGATCTTCCTTGTTGAGAAAATCTGCAGGGTTAATCCATATCCACTGATTTCAACTTGATTGCCTGGAACATTATTATGTGACTGGCAATAACGTGGCAGAGATAAATTCTCTAATAACAGGTTGAACTGGAGGCTTCAACTGCTCAATGAATTTGATGATGTACTAATCAAAATTGATGTTTTAGTCCAGTGTCTCAGTAATGTTATTACACAGATATGAGGAAAAGTGTGCGTTTTTCCTGAAAATTTTGATTGCATTAGCTCTGGTATTGCTATTACTGCATTTGGATATATTTTTCCGCGTTTTCTATTTAATGCCTATAATGAATGCATGCAAATTGCTGTAAAAATAAAATGCCTCTTGTGATTTTGAGCTGAGAATCAAGAACTCATACACTTAACGTCCCACCTTTTAATTGGCAGGGGCATAAGGAGTGGGTGACCGAAGTAAACGTGCTTGGTGTGGTTGAGCATCCGAATCTTGTAAAGCTAGTGGGTTACTGTGCTGAAGATGATGAAAGAGGAATCCAAAGGCTTTTGATTTATGAATATATGCCCAATAGAAGTGTGGAAAACCATTTATTTATCCGGTCCGAGACAACTCTTTCCTGGGCGATGAGATTGAAAATAGCCCAAGATGCAGCTCGTGGGTTAGCATACCTACATGAAGGAATGGATTTCCAGGTATGATGGTTTTAAGTTCCCATTTCAGATACTATTGGTATTGCATTGTAGTTATTAAATTCTCCCCCTGAAATCCCCTTCCATGGAGAAGGGCATTTTTACAACCAAAAAATTGTAACAGAAAACTTTCCGGAGTATTTTGTCTGATACTAACATCGGTTTGCTTATCGTATTTCATCGCAGATCATCTTCAGGGATTTTAAATCATCTAATATCCTTCTAGACGAGCAATGGAATGCGAAGCTGTCAGACTTTGGATTAGCCAGGTTGGGTCCTTCAGAAGGATTAACTCATGTCTCGACAGCGGTATGTTCAGGCAAAATGACCAACTTGAAATGTGTCCTGTTAGTCTGTGTTCACTTTGAATTTTCTTTTCATCTCTAGTAGGTTTCTTAATGGTTAAAACCTCCAAAAGTTTAATTTTTCATGGATGTCTGCATCCATTTTAAGATAAAAGAAGGATTCCCTTGGTAATCGAAAACACAACCAGGGTAATCTCAAATTACACGAGGAAAAAATGGTTTTAATTCTTTGTTAGGTGTTTAGTTTATGCAGTCAAATTTACTTGCTAGAGTCATGGTAGTACTTCAACATTTATTTATTCATCAATTCTTACATGCATCAAACTGGTGGTCTTCAATAGGTTGTCGGAACAATGGGCTATGCGGCTCCTGAATACATCCAGACGGGACGTTTGACATCTAAGATTGATGTGTGGAGCTATGGGGTCTTCCTCTACGAACTCATTACCGGCAGGCGTCCCTTCGACAAAAACAAACCCAAGAATGAGCAAAAGCTCTTGGAATGGGTAAAGCCATACCTATCTGATAGGAAATTCCAGTTGATATTGGACCCTAGACTGAACGGGAAATACCAACTCAAGTCGGCGCAAAGGCTTGCAGTTGTGGCCAACAGATGCTTAGCCAGAAACCCAAAGTCACGCCCTAAGATGAGCGAGGTGTTAAAAATCGTGAACCGTATCGTGGAGGCAGCAGGATCCGGCAGTCCAGAACCACCATTGAAGGATGTCTCTACAGAAACTTCAAGAGAACGTAAACGAAGGATTGTGGATTCCAGAAGTGAAAAGTTTGTTTGGCTATGGACTCCAAAGCTCATAAGAACATGTTAACAGCAGGTAACTTGTATGTATAACTTGAAAAAAGCCTCAATAGAGCTGTAAAGGTTTGTAGCATGAAACTGACAGAGCAATGCAGCGAAACTTCATATACAAGTACATGGATAAGCAATATATTGTCTCCTTTATTACCATGTATGAGACTGCTCTCGGACAATAGATGTGAACAAGCTCTATGATAGTGCAATTTGTTTGAGAACACATGGACCATTCGAAGTAGAATTCGAACAATGATTATTTTATAATTTTTAATAGATATGAAACTTAACAAATTAATAATCAATAATCGGGTTCATTTGTGTACTTTACCCATTTTAATTTTATATTATAATAACAATACTGTAAATATAGTATATGGAATATACATGTCACATACGATGAATGAATTGTAAGCATTTAAAAATAATGAGAAGCGGTGTATATAATTTGGACGGTCATTAAATGTGTACTGCCACTTGTTGACGTGCCCTAGGCCAAACCATCAAATTCAACACCCTAGTTAATTATATATTTGGTGGCGGCAATTTTAAAGACTATTGTTATTCTTGCCGCTGTTTATATTATTAAATTAATATTTTTGGACTCCTAAACTGATGGTGGAAATTGTTTTCAAAGCCAAGGTCATAACCGTCATTTTCGTAGGAATATAAATCACAGCCGTAGATCTCCTACCTTGTCTCATCTCGAACCCTTCATTTTTCATGCTCTCCTCTTCTCTTCAAGTTAAAAACTTAAATATCCGCCTCAGATTTAAATAAATAATAGAGTAAAATGCATATTTAGTGTCTCAACTATTAATCTTATTCTATTTTGATTATCTAATTATTAATTTCTTAAAACTATTCTTAGGGTTACGTTTATTTTCATTTTGATCATTCGTCTTTAAAAAGTTAATAGATCTATTGATTTGGTATTTTAAAAAAATGAAATGATTATATGACATTGTCTTATAGTGACACGTCATTATTACCGTTAATTTTTTTTATCAGTGGATAATCAAAATGAAATCAAAACGTAACGTTAAATATTATTTTTAAACAAAAATTAGTTAAATGACAAAAACAGAATAAAAGTTATAATTTGAATACTAAATGTGTAATTTACCTTAAAGAATAATAAAAATAATTAAAGGCAAAATCATGTCCGCTCGATTGGCGGATCCAACGGTAATAGGGGCGTCCGTGTACAATGGACGCGTGATTGTGGGTTTAATCAGCATCCGCGGGAAACAGCTTATTCTACAAGTACGTGAGTTTTATTAGTTTTTTTTCTTTTTCTTTTTTGGGTTTTCAAAACATTTCAACGTTTGATCGTTATCTTGTGTCACTCGTGTACTCCATTAATACATCAGTACTTCATTGTTTTCCTTCTTTTTTCTTGGTTTATTCTCTCGAAACCTTGGTTTCAAGCTTTTCTAGTTTTGGTGAGTGCTTATGAATTCCATATTTTTCTACTCTTGTTTTGATCGAATTTGACTTGGGAATGATCATGTATTTCTGGATTTTGATTGCTACTGTTCGTTACTGTTTTCTGAATTCTGGGTGTTTTTTCCTTATTCTTTTTTTGAAGTTGCTTAATGTTAAAGCTTAGGTTTTGAATTTGATCGAATCTTTGTATGCTTTTCACTGCTAAGAATTGGATTTTTGATTCCATGGTTATGTATTTTTGTGGAGAAATGCAAATTATGTCTAGGCATGGATAAGAGAGTTTTTGGAGAATTAACACAAGTTTTAGCCATTAGATTTTCATTATTTTATCGGGAATGAAATTCTATGTGGAAAGGATATTACGATTGAATGAGAATCTAGGTCAAAAGGGTAAATAAAGAAATCGGGTTTATCTAATTTGACTGTTGACAGGTAAGGGTTTTTTTCCCTTTTCCTTTTATTGAACTTTAGGAGATAATACAATTGATTCCTCAAATAAATTTAGATGCCTAAGGCGAGCTTATTCTGTGGCATGATGGAAATCCATTAAAACAAACTTGTCTTTAAAATCTAATATTGGTTTTGGCTTTTGATAAAGTTGATTCCAATTTAGGGTTTAGTCTGAAAAGATAGTAGTATCTTTTTATACTTCTTTTGGGCTTTCTTTTTAGACAAGATTATCTGGATTCTTAACTCATAAGGAATGATGCTCACTTTTGTAATGGTATATTGGTATATGCAAGAGCAAGTATCCTTGGATTGAAGTAAACTGATAACTCATCATTTGTTTATTAAGATCATTTTTAGTTTCTTTTTATACCAATTTTGATCGGTTTTAACTATATTTTTTCAAGGTTTTATTTGATAAACTTCACTTAGTAGCATTAATAATAATAGTTAGTGAAGAACTTGGTGTCATGTAGGTAATTGATTTTCAGGTAGTTTGAAAATTCTTGAACAAGGCGTATATCAACTTGATCAATTACTCAATGTCAGTGAAGATTAAGGTTTTTTTTAATTATTATTTAAAAAATCATTGTTTCCCTAGGATAGTAAACTAACGTGCCATAATAAGGATATATCTCTAGAGTATCTTAATTTGATGCTTGAAGCAGATTCCTTGATTTTCCAGGGTAATTGCAGTTTCTATGAGTTGTTTCTTCATGCATAAAATCTGAAATCTGGATGTTGAATTGATTTTCACGTGTGAACAAAAATCTAATTGAGAGTTGTTTGTACAGGTGGTGATCAAGTTTTTTAAGTAGAATATTACTTGAAGTTGATGACTATGTATCAGCAAGATTCAGATTTTGTGCATTGGGTTCTCGGGGGTGACCCTTTTTACCATTGTGCATATAGTAGTGACATGGTGCAGCATGATGCTGGAGACATCTATCATCACACTCACTATTATAGAGGTCATACTGATACACAAAGCAGCCAGATAGAGAATGACGAGGTCATAGCTCGTACCCTTCAGGAAGAATTCTCACATCTTGCAGTGGCAGAAGCATCAAAATTTTCTCACGCTGGGGAAGAGCAGTCACAATCATCCAGTGAACATCATAATTGGCATACTCCATCAACAACATACTATTATTCAGGTGGCCTGAAGGTTTTCCCTGCCTATTTATTTCTTTTATGATATTTATCTACTTATCATTGTTTAGTAGTTATTTTGCCACAACGTGCAGGCTATGAATATGGCCAAGATGAATCTGATGATTTGGTGCCATATGGTTCCTGCTCTAGCCCCAGTGATTCGGAGGATTTTTCTGGCTCTTTGGAGCTAACCGAGGGTTATTTACTCGATGATGATGAAGTAGGCAAGAGGTTTAATCAAATGATTCCGATCCCTGTAAGTTTACCTTAGAAGTTCCATTTTTGCCTATTATTTATTTTTATGCCCATACATGTGATGTTCTGTTTTGGAGTTATGTTTATTTGTATTGATGCATATGACCCTGCATCTCTGCTATTTTCTTCAGATGTATTTAAATCTGTTTGTTGCAGCATGTCCCTAGAATCAATGGTGAAATACCACCAATTAATGAAGCAATGTCTGATCATGAAAGGTTGTTGAGCAGGTATTATTTTGTACTGTTTTCCTTTTTCATTTCTTAAAAATTAGAATTCATTTTGAGGCTTTGAGCAATGTGACAAAGAAATACATCAAGGTTTTTTTTTCCCTTCATGAAAGGTGTTGTTGGTTGGCTTGTTAATTCGGCTTTATCAGCTACTTAAGGTTAATGCTAGATATATTTCTTTTTCTATCCAGATTGCAGCTATACGGTTTTGATGAGCTCAAGGTTCAAGGAGATGGCAATTGTCAGGTGTGCTCTCTTTTATTTCTGGTTTGAATTCCCCATTTCAGCTGTAATATTTATGGTCCATTTTTTTGCTTTTTCAGTTCCGTGCACTGTCGCATCAGTTATATCATACACCTGATAATCACAAATATGTGAGACTACAAATTGTGAATCAGGTTTGTTATTCCGCAATAAATTGCTGGCTTACACAACATTAAGTTTGTTTATTAAGGTATACTGAATATATTGGTGCTGCCGTAGCCAACTAATAGTAGCTTGTTTTGCCAGCTTAAATCTAACCGAGAGACATATGAAGGATATGTCCCCATGGATTATGCTGACTATTTGAAGAAGATGTCAAAGTATTTAATTTATCTTCTTTTGTTGCTACTGATATTTCAAGCTTTTGGGCAAAGAATAGCTATGTTAACACTCTTTATGAATGATTTCAGGAGCGGCGAGTGGGGTGATCACGTTACATTGCAGGCAGCTGCAGACGCGGTATGCATTATAAAGTTAGCAAATACATATTTCGGAAGAATCTTGTGTTGTGAATATCCAAGTAACCATAAATTTATTTGTAATTGTTGATTTTTGTTTTGTTTATTGGTTCATTTCTTGCAATGGATATTCTCCTCATTTAATATATTTTCATTCACTTTATAAATAAGTGAAGAAATAGAGTAAATATCATGATACAATGTGTTTTTCCTACGTGGAGCGCCTTTTTTTTCTTTTAATTCACTTATGATCAAGGATCCATGCATTTTTCAGTATCTAATACTAGCAGACATTTTACCCTTTTTTGGCAGTATGGCTTGAAAATTTTTGTCATGACTTCCTTTAAGGACACTTGTTACATCGAGATTCTTCCCAACTTCCGGAAGTCGAAAGGCGGTAAGATTTCCGCAAATTTCTTCTCCTGCAACCTACATCTTTTAGGCTTTTCATCTTTCTCTTGTTGAATTTTGGAGGTTTGTTGTAGGTAATAATACTTTCTATTGTTATTTTCTTCCAAATGTATCGTTTCCTTTAGTTTCCAACTGCATTTGTTTCTGATGCAGTCATTTTCTTGAGTTTTTGGGCCGAAGTTCACTACAACTCAATCTATTGCCAAGGAGGTGATCATTTAACTCTTTCCTAATTGTTTAGTGCGTAAAGAGATTTGCAAGTTCCTAGTTTTAGAATCATCTCTTAAAAATTGCTGTGTTCATGGTTGTAGATCCTCCCTCAGCCGAGGTTCCAAGGAAGAAAAAATGGTGGATTTTTGGGAACTAACACAACAAAGATAAGCCAAGCTTCCATGCTGTAGTATCTGATACAACTACTACTTCATAGTTGTATTGTAAAGAGAAATACAAAACATTGCTCAATTTTGTCATGCATGAAATAAAGTGAAAGATAAAACAACTCTTATCAATAACTTTGTTCTTTATTGATTCATTTTTGGTCTGTACAACGATGATTGATAAGAGAAATCCAAGGTGGGTTCAGTTTCTCCTTTTTCAGCATTTTATTTACAACCAAGAAAGCTACCATTCATCATCATCTATTCAAAATACTACTCGATAATATATTATATATTGTAGCTAATGGCTTACTTTGGGATCTCTACTCTTGATTCCTAATCTCTTCATCCTCCTCTTCCTCCTGCTGCTGCTCTTTATCCACCTCCGCCAACGGCGGCTGCAACAGTAATGAAATAAACGGCATGTGTTGATACACATTTCTTTCAACAGTTGAATACTGAAACCCCAGTGGTTGACGCAAGTCCAACCGGCAATTCGGCGGTGCCAGCGCCGTCAAGGCGTACATCCCCGCCACGCCGGCGCCGCTACCAACCCCACCCGGGTGAAGTTGACAAGATTCCGAAGGCGAAGAAGATGTAATGGGTCCGGAAGCACAAGAGATTTCATGAGCTGCAGGGGTGGTGCCGGACCCGGTGGCAGCTATGATAGAAGATTGAGCCTGACGAAGCAACCACTCGATGGTCTCACCATCGGAGCGATGACCGAGTTCTCGAGTCAGTTGAAAGATCCGAGCTGCACAAAGCGCCGGCATCCGAACACGACGGCTACGGCCATTCACTTTGGTGTGTCGATCTTTAGAAGTCAAAGAAATGGGCTTGCGAGTAGGGAGAGAGAGTTGGGTGTTGGGAGGTGAGTCGTCGGCGACTACCGAGTTACCATTGGAGTTGTTCCGATTAGAGGTGGCAGAGTATTTGTGAAACGCCATTTCAGAGCTCATCGGAGAGCTTACAATAGGTTTTGAATCGACCCCACAAAGAGAGAGGAGAGAGTGTTGTTAAACGTGAGATGGGATTTTGATTTAAAAAGAGGGGTGGGATTTGTTTTGACGTTACAGAATCTGCTGACGTGTCGAGATAGGGTTTCATTGGGTTTCGTGAAGTGGTCCAAGCGGAATGTCGGGTCGGTCTTAGTTCGGGTATGGATAGTGGGGCCTACTCACCAGATATTGCTTGGGTGGATCCCACTTTTGGTACCTTGGATTGATACTGTCTTGCCAAAATTTTTGCTTCGGTTACAACTCCGCAGATTTTTTAAAGGAAAATGGGAATGTCCAATATTCTTTTATTCTTGCCAGTAAAATTAGAGATATTTTAGTTTACCTTTTTCATATGATAATTTATATCTTTTATATATTATATTTTATCTTTTTTTAATTTTATATAAAAAAGAAAAATATATATCATGTGAAAATAGTTTATTATTCGTTAATGCTACTGTAGGTCGTGAAATCTTAAAGATTTCGAGAAATTCCAAAAGATGTGAAAGTCAAGAGGTACATTTTAGCATGAGTTGCAGAGGAGATATAACAATTGTCTTCGTTAATTTAGGGAATGTCATAAAGTAGCATAATCTTAAACTCATGACAGAATGCATTCTTTAACTAGTTTTGACATGGACGCCTCTCTATAGACTGCTTGCGATTTTGGTCTAGAGGGCACATAGGGCGATTCAATTTTCATTGATAATTTATTTTAAAATTTGGCAGAGTTATCTCAATGCATGTGCATGTGAACAACGAATGACCATTGAAGCTTTCCGTGAGACGATTGAAGAAAATGACAACATTTCGATATTATACAGGAGTAATGTATATATTCATATTACTATAACAGAGGTATCTCGATTTTTTTGATCGGACAATAGAGAGGTAGCAATTGGGCTTTCAACAAAATGGAGCTGGGTGAAAGGGTCTGAGTTCCAAGTAAAACAAGGCCCAACCTCACCCATTTTCGAGCACTAGACATTTGGGGCGTGGAAATGGAATAAAGATGTTTCTGTGCTGCACACCACTGCTCTGCTGCTTCTTTATCACTTCCACAAGCACGCATGTACCCAGATGAACAACAAAACAAGTAATGTTAAGGTTATCTTGTATATAAAAAGAAATAGTATCATTTCCATCAATGGAAGCTGCAAGGAATTTTCTCTATTCTCCTCCAACCTATTTCACGCGAACCCAACTCAAAAGTTCTATCTTTACATCACCATCTTCTTCAGGTACCATTTACTTCTTCCGTTTTCTGATTATTAGTAAAACACCCAGTTTTCAACTTTTATATCTACTTGTTTTATGCCTACATTATTTGATGTATATATATATATTGTATTGTTGAATTGACTTCCTTGTGCTTTTCTTCTTGAAACAATTTTGTTACTTCGTTGAACTGGAAACTATTGTTACTTTGTTCTTCAATTTGCTTTTAATTTCAATTCATAAATTCTACTATTCTATCCAGAAGTCTTGTAAATCGTTAATATGCTTATATAACATTCGGGTTCCTTGGAAAATTGTCTATGTATATGGAGATATTCATATATGGATAGATAGTAGAATTGTCTATATGTGATCAAGGATGGACAGAGGGGTGCTGGAGTGCAGTCGCGACCCTTAGATGTTTTAAATTCTTAAGTAGTTTAGATATTTTCTTTGTATTTTCCATCGATGATGTTATTCTCCTCCCCAGATTTTGTAATTTCGTATCCCTAAATTTCTAATATAACTTCATAGATTCGCACCTCTGACATAAAATCATGTGTCCGTCTCTGTACGTGGTTATGTATGAAATGTATGTGTTTTTCTCTTAATTTATTAGATATAATGATATTAAGTTCTGAATGACAATATATGCATTTCAATGTTCCATGAGCAAGCAGCTCCTGCTGCTGCAACTTCTATCCCGGTTGCTTCTGTAAGTAGGCATTTTCCTACATCAGTTCTCTCACCGGAGCAGCGTGATGACTGTCAAGCTCCGCCTGTGTTGCGATTCTTTAAAGAAGATAAAGCATATCCAGTAAGACTCTTGTTGATATATTCACACCATATATGTATCATGTAATTTGCAGGCTTGCCTTTTATGTTTGTTTTCTGTTCATTTTGTTGATGTCCTTAAATATTTGCAAATCCTTATTTGATTCATTTGATTCTAGGAAGCAACGAATGAACAGCTGGAGAACGGTACAACACTTCGTGAAAGGAAGCCCTCCAATAACTTCGTCCGGTTGGGGTCTGAACAGCAGTTAATCCAGTGGCATGATTTAAGGAAATTATGAATGAAACAAGTCTCATTCACTGCTTCCTGCATTAAATCATTGCGACTGTAATCCCTTCCCCTTGAATTGCATCCTCAGTCCTCATGTATTGCTTCATTCTTTTTTCTTTCATTACAGATTGTCACTCTTGGAATTAGGGGAGAATCCATCATCTTAATTGAATATCCAGTCTGTTGCAGCTGATACCGAGGAGATTATGTATGTTGAACCAAGTAATATAGTTTTCCTTGCTAAGAAGGCTTTGTCAGCATCTAAACAAGCTGCAGCATTGGCTGAGGACCTCAAGTTAGACCTTGATGATTCACTTTCTAGTAGGTTTGTTTCTCTCTTGTCTTCCTAGTTGCATCAGTGTTCTAGATTAATTATATCCTCTGACAGCTGATATGTAATGCCATTGCAGTTTGGGGTCGGCTAATTCATCTACATTGCCAATTGAGGGGGAAGCAATTACAGTTGGGTCAACCAAACATTTTTGAGAGGCAGTCTAAGCGAATGAGGCAATCTAAATTTACGGTTTCTGAGACCTACAGTTCACGAAAGCTGAATGTAAGAAAAAAGTCGAGTGGAAATTTTAATCCCAATGATCTCCTTCGGTTGTTCTTGAGGGGTTCCGAGACAACACAACTCTTGACTGCTAAAGAAGAGTCTGATTTGATTATTCAAGTTCAGGTGTCTTGCTCAATCTTTACTTTTCCTTTTAAAGCATCATCATCATCATCATCATCATCATCATCATCATCATCATCATTATTATTATTATTATTATTATTATTATTATTACATTTTGCCTATTACAAATCAAAGATGGACCCAAATAAAATAGATACAAATTACAATTGGATCAAGACCCAAGCAGGAGGCCCAAACCCGGATCCGGATTACAACAGCCTGGACCTGGCCCAAAACCAACAGGCCCAACTCAACTAGGGCTTTTTCACCATTAACTCCAACCAACTCTAATCCCAACTGTTAGATCTGGACACATCCAATGGTTTAGATTGTTCAAATTTAGGGTTTGCCTTAAAAACATCTCACCAGCCGTCGTCGCTACCAGCAAAGAATCGGCCACCGCCCAGCACGCGAGAAACACACGCTCAACCCCTTGGTTTCCCTCAGCCACGCGAGCCGCCACTATCTTCTCCTGCCATCGCCGTTTCCACCATCCGTCAACCAAATCAATCAAACAAATCAGAAAACATAATAAAAAAACATCCACTTGCAATCAACAAAATCCTGAGGAAATCTGTTCTGTCACAAGCCGAAATAGGGCAATCATGCCCTATTTCATGACATCCAACATGCAAGATAAAAAAGAGAGCAGAGACCGAGAGAACCGGGGGGAGGGGAGAAAAGAAAAATTAGAGAAGAGAGAGACTTCGAACAAAAAAATCCACCAAAAAGCCATCATATTTGAACCAGATTAAAAAAAAGGATTCAAACAAAAGAGTGAGGAGAGGAAAAATCCCTATTGAAAATAAGAAAAAGGGGAAAGAAACTACCTTTGTTCTTGGCCGGAACCGGATCTTCACCGAGCCAAAGCCCTCGACTTTCGAAGGTAACCACTAGATTTATTTTTAGATTTAGGATAGAGGGTTACATTTTAGGGGATTTTAGGCTTGGTTTTCAAGTAATGGTTTAGAGAGGGTTCATTTGGGATCGATTTTTTCCTCGATCGATGCCCACCCACAGTGGCCCGAGTGGGTTGCCGCGGCAGCAGATGAGGAAAGTTTGGGAGAGCTCTCTCTCTTTTACTTCTTTAGGAAGGCTGAAGGGATAAAATGAAATAGGGTATAAAGAAAGGCCCTTACAACGGGTTATATATTAACCTCCATGCGGCGTTGTTTTGGCAAAGGGGGGAGACCAAGCGCCTAGGTTTAGAGGATATTGGTAGTTTCGGTCCTTTTTTCTTTGTAATATCACCTTTTGGCCATTGAATGAAGCTTAATGTTATTTTGGTTTCGAGCACTTATCTTTCAATGTTTGTATTTAAGTCACCATCCTATATGTTATGTCATTTTGTTAATGTTTGACTCTGATAATAATATTTGCAAATCTTTCATTTCAATCATTACTTTGTATATTGTTGCTTTTAGGTATAATTCTTATTTACCCTTACAAATTTCGTTTTATTTTGGTCCTCTGTACTTACAAATGTTTAAAATTGTGTAATTCATGCTTTGAAGTCTCGTGCTTGGTTATGTATACATTTTGGTCACTAACTTTGACTTGGTGTTAACTTTGATTTAGTCCATGCTGTTTTGACTATTAAGTTTTAATTCCTGTAATTATTACATAATAGGGCTTGTAATTTTTTATTTCATTTTATTTTGGTATTTGCTGTTGCCATATATGATATTTGATTATATTTTTGTTCTAGGTTTTCATTTTGCCATGTTTATATTTTAGTAACTATTTAAATTAAATTTGTTGCTTGATTGGCTTTTGGTTGTAGTTATAATTTATGACATAGTTTATGTTTTACACTTTGTTTAGTTTTTACTTAATCGTTGTTTCGATCTTTGCATCGTCCTATCTTTGTTTTAATTTTTGCTTTATTATTTATTGCTTATATGTCGTGTATGTATATATTTCAATATTGTTGTAAGCATCAATTATAATTCATAGAATGCCCTAATTATTCGATGTCGACATTTTATTAGACTTTATGCTCATATGCTTTCAAGAACACGTTATTGTAGAATGGGTGTGAAAAGTTTGAAGCAGTGCGATTCAATACGATATTCGAACAAAAATCGAACTTGAAATAAGTCGAGTTTTTTTTTATAAAAAATGATAATTAATTCATTTTATTTTTGTATAAATAATAGCCATGCATGTCTATTTAAATAGTACGTTATTTTATGCAATTATTGGTATTCAATTTATGTTTGATTTGTGCTTCTTGATAATGTTGAGAGGAGAATTTTCTCGTATAAAGGAGAAATAAATGGGATGGCCTTCCCATTGGAGGATGTGCAAATCAAGTGATTTCTTCTCAAATTAAGGAATGTTCTCTAATAATTAATTCGAAGCAAATTATTTGATGTTCAATAAATGGATTGTACTTTAAATATTGATGCAAATTCATGATGTTCACCATTTACGATAATGTGTAAGTGATTAAGTATCAAATTTGGGGGTTGTGGAGGTGTTAATCATTCCCTATGTGTAATCGACTTCCGAATCTAAAATTAACCTTTGATAATTGCACAATAGATTTTTGTCTTAAAAATGATTTTTCTTAAAATTGTTTAAAGGACGTTTTAGGTGTTCAGCTTATCTAACCCAAAGGTCGATGGCAGCTTCAATTCAAAATAATTCAAACTAATTCAAAATCTAAAATTTTCAAATAAAGTCATAATTGTTTGTTTTTAAAATAATGAGATTTTTTCAAAAAAAAAATGGTTATGAAAGCATAAATATAGGGAGTGTTTGGTTCATGAAAGGCTATTAAACTATGTTTTCATATAAAAAAATGATGGCAAAATGCTTTTGGACTTGGATTGAATTTATTCAAAGTTTTCAAAAATAATTCAAAGTTTTCAAAAATAATTCAAAGTTTTCAAAAATAATTCAAAGTTCATTTAACTTGGAATTGAGCAGAAAATGCTATTCTGGATAAGAAGTATCGATATTGTTCTTACAATATTGATATCTCATGAACAATATTGATATTGTTCATATGGTACCGATACCAAAGGTAAGGGAAATATCGATTCTCACTAGGTAGTATCGATACTACCAGCATTGCTCAAATTCCAAAATATAAAAATGGTACCGATACCCAAAGGGGTACCAAGATTACTTTATATAGTAGTATCGATACCATAGGCTTAGTATCGATACCGTCAAACGCAACGGCTAGTAACAACTAGTTTTATTTAAAAATAACAAAGGTAGTACTGATACTCCTTATAGGAGTACCGATACCCTCTGTACTGGGCAATTTTATTTTGCAGAGAAAACCATCCCCAATGGCTCCAAATCACTCACAACAGCTAGAAATGGCCACAAACTCATTCCAACATATAAATACAAGTTCAAGACACTTGGAGAAGGGTTAGAACACCTATCCAAGCATTCAATCACAAGAGAAGAGTTTTTCATTTCTATTTTATTTTCTTTTGTAAATATTGTGTTTTTGTGAGCTTTATTTTGTAAACACCCTACCTTTTAGAAGATTTTATTTGTTTACATTTCTTTTCCTTGTAAAGGGTTTTGGTTCTAGCTGGGCCTTTGAAAAGTTAGGGAATTGTGTAAATGTTATCTCTTTGTCCTTGAAAAATAAAGAACAAATTAGTGAATTTGTTGGAAAATCTTTAGTGAGGAGCTAAAGTAGTTGAGGTAGACTTAGTAGAGAAGTCGAACCACTATAAATCATTGTGCCAATTTTTCTATCTTTTATTCTCCTTACTCCTTAAACAATTTTTTTCCCTTTCACCCCTTGTGCAATTTTTGGTTGATCAAACTGAGCTTCTAAAATCCCAACAATTAGTATCAACTTGATTCATTAGAAGGTTTGATCACCTTGAGACGTTCCTTGAAGAAGCTCTACCGATTCTCGACGCAACTGACAAGAAGATAGCTTCGACCTTCGACTCTTACTATATTGAAGATTCTCAATCAATCGACAAGTAATCGTATTTTAATGGAGAAAACTATGTCTATTGGAAGAATATGATGATATTATTCATTCAAGAAAATGATCTAGGAGCTTGGAACTCAATCATAAAGGGTTACATCAATCTGTCCGGTGAGATGGATGATTGGAGTAATGAAGAGAAGAAGAAGTTCCAACTCAATGCTAAGACTATGCACATCCTCTTTTGTACATTATACCCAGATGAATATGGAAGAGTCTCATCCTGCTCCAATGCCAAGAAGATATGAGACAAGCTCCAAGTCACTCGTGAAGGAACCGATGAAGTGAGGGAAACCAAGATAAGTCTTCTCAAGGGATTTGGAGAAGTAATCCCTAATGAGAGGCTTGTGAGGAAGATTATCTACTCTCTTCCAAATTCTTGGCAATCGAAGCAGGCGACGATCATTGAGGCTAAGAATCTAAAGTCTCTCACTTTCGATGAGCTGATTGGTTCTCTTCTCACTCAAAAGTTTATGGTGAAAGAAGAGGAAGAAGATGAAGAGAAGCAAAACAAGAAGAAGAAGAAGGTAGCTATTGCCTTCAAATCCACCAATGAGAGTAATAAAGATTCAAGTGAAGAGGTGGATGAAGACGATGATGAAGAAGAAGAGATGGCCAAGCTCTTCAAAAGATTCAAGAGATTCATGACTTCTAAGGAAGTGAAGCATGGATCGAGCAAGAAGAAGAGTCCCCCAGTCTGCTTCAATTGTCAAAGAACGGGGCATGTCAAGTATGATTATCCCCTTCTAAAGAACAAGGGATCAAGCAATAAAAATGCATTTGTAGCAGCTTGGAGTGACGAATATGACTTCAATGATAAAGATGAAGTAGCCAACTTATGCCTCATGGCCATCCAAGAAGATTCAATGGTAACTTCTAACTCAAATGAATTATAATTAGATTCTTATTCTTTTGATGAGTTACAAGTTTCTTATAATGAGTTGTATTTGGAATTTGAGACCATGAATTCCAAATATAAGAAATTAATTTCAAAACTTAAAGTTGAAAATGATTTGGTTTTGAAAGCAGAAGTTGATTTTGAAAAACAAAATGAAATTTTGAAATATGATTTAGAGCTTTCAAAAGTCAAAATCAATTATTTAGAAAAAGAAAATTTTGATTTGAAAGCTAAGCTTGAGAGCTTAACAAAAGAAAAAGGATTAATTTCTAAAAATAACTCATTATGTTTAAAAATGACAAAATGCTAATATTGGCATTTTCATGGTCACGTGGAACATGCTTGTCCTAAAAAGAAGAAAAAATCTTTTAAAATTAGACAAGTATGAGTTCCTAAGGGAACAAAGGGCATTGAAACTAACGTCCAAGGATCCAAAACAATTTGAATACCAAAATCTACTTAAATGTCTCTTATAGGTGTATGTGAGCAATGGTGATGAAAAATGAAGACATTCAAATGCTCTAGCCACACTTGAAAAGGAATAGATAACCTCTAAGCTTAATGCTTTTGTTTTTTGATTATTGGTTGCTCATTTGATTTAAGCATGCATGAGCTTTTGATTTTAAATCGTTATATTTTTCTATCTCATGTATGTTGAAAAGTGTATTATGATGAACATTTTAAAGTTTTAATGATTTCTCATAATTTTTAGTTCATCATAATGAATTTTAGTCAAAATTGGTTTCAAATGCAAATGATATCTCTCTAACAATTGATATCAAATTTTCAAATGTTTTAATTTTATAAATTTTAATTTTTGACCTAAATTTAAATGTTTATGCATGTGGTTTAAAATGCAAATGATATCTCTCTAACAATTGATATAAAAAAATTTCAAATGCATAACATTTTTTTATAACTTTATGCATATGCACTTAATTTCAACAATTGGTATTACATAAAGTATTTTAGACTTTGATATATTGAATTTCACGTGCTACTAACATATTTGTTATTCTTTGTTGAAATTCAATTTTGTTTAAGTGTCAAGCTTTTAAAGTCAAATTTTTGTTTGGAATAATATTTTTGAGGAGTAGCTTTGATTTTTCAAATGATTTTATGTCAAATTTAACGCTTACTCTCCAATGTTATTGTTGAACTTTAAAGTTGAATTATTTTTGATATAATAAAAAGGGGGAGAAGTATGAATTTGAAAAATTCAATTTCTCAAAGA